GGCTAAGCAGTAACCCTGAGTCCCATTCTCTCGTCTAAATCTTTGACTCAAAACCATTCACTTTTGAGTTCTTCTTCAAATCTTCGTCTTCTTCACGGATTTTGTTCTTCAATTCTCGATTACTTTTTCAATTCTTATTCTTCTTCACAGATAAGGAGGCTCTCATTATCCAAGTATATTCAATTTCCAATTATTCAATTTAGAGATTTGTTTGTTAATTTTTAAATTTTTGAATATTGTTAATTTATCTTTTAATACTTTAATTTGTTCCCTTGTTCTAATTTTCAGGCAGATTCATAATTGTTTATTGATATTTAAGTATTTGTTAAATGTTAATGTATATTCATTTTGTTATTTTATTATTTAATTAAGTAATCTTGAGACCTGAGATGGACAAATTTGTTATTAGAGAAAAGAAAAATTTAACATTTGTAAATGTTAAAGGCAAGGAAATAAAAGTATCTTCTTCTTTAGAGAAAGAAAATGTGATTTCAAATGATGATATTGTTGCTGCCGGGATTAAGAAAACCAATCAATAGTTATCCGTTGGAAATTAGAGATGTCATGAGGAGAAGATACTTAGCAAAAGGTCCTTGTCGACCATTGGTGCATAACTTTCTACAAACTATGACGGAAAAAAAAAGACGGTTTCAAAGTGTTTGGTTTGATAAGTTTAAGTGGTTAGAGTATAATGTCGCCAAGAATAAAGCATATTGTTTGCATTGTTATCAGATTGTCTGTTGTGTTACTTTGAGAAAGAAATTTTTATGAGCATTGATGATGATGTTATTACGCATCGCTTTCAAAAATTGGCATATCGAAAAAATTTTCTACGGCCTCAAACAACATTACTCATTTGCGCAAATAAAAGATATGTTTAGTTGCACTTTGCAATTAAGGTTATTACTATTATGAAAATTTTTTGTTGTTTTTTAAATAAATTTGTGCCCCCCATGAAGTCTTCCCTGGCTCCGCCACTGGCTAAAGGAAGTGCTAGTCTTTTTTCTCAGTTTTTCTTTCTTTCATGTGAGTGCTAGAGGTATATGTGTAGATACTCCTTCCATTTTGGAAAACATTTCTAAATTTGACTTTTTATTGTTTTAAGGGAAGTGTTACATTTTTTGGTGTTTGACTTTCAAATTTTTACCCTTAGATTTTTTGTTTAAAATAAAGATGTTTCAAATCATGAATAGTGATTAATAATGTGAAAGAATAGTTAAAAAGCAAAAAGTAATATGAGATGTGATGAATGTAATGTGGAAAAGCAGGGTTAAAGAGGAGTATTCTAATTCATTTTGGAGAAATTGAAATATTTTATGGAACGAGTAATTAAAATGAGAAAGTGGAATTATTTTATGGGAGGGAAGGAGTATTTTTAACTGTCAGTTGTAGCGTGTATGTTGATTTATTTCTTTTTGGATGTTAAAATGTTACGTAAATCACAACCTTCTCATTTGTATCCTTAAAATACATATCAAATAAAATTTATCTTATGACTAGAAGCAATTATCTAATTGCTTATGCTTATTTTAAGAAACTAAGTTTTAGAATCTTATTTCATGTGCCAAAAGAAAATATCAATTTGATTATTACTCCCTCCGTTCTTGAGTATTTGTCCATCTTTGATTTTTTTTGGGGTCAAAATTGGTAAATTTTGACTTCAAATTAAATAAAAATAATACTATATATTTATATAAAAATAGTTTTATTAGATTTATTATATGGAATATTTTTAATTCCTTATTTTATCTAATTAATATAAAAAAATATTTAATTATAGGTCAAAAGTTAAAAATAGTTAACTGAAAAGTCAATACTAGACAAATACTGAAGCACCAAAATAGTACGGAGTACTTATAATGTATAGAATTATTTAAGCAAACGCTCCCCACTAATAAGCTACTCCGTAGTACGTTTCAACTAAAATATGAAATAATTATCCGTTATCAATGCATGCATTCCCTGTTCCATGGAGCATGTTGAGAATTGAATAAAAAATCAAAAGGAAATAAAAAAACAAAAAAAAACCATGGACTCTTGGTGAGTGTAGGGAGTAATTGATAATTCGTTAATCAGAAATTTATATCAGACATAGGATGTGAAAAAATCTCTTTTTGTTGATCTGCCCTTTGTCTCAAATGCAATGCAAACCAAATAGGTTTCCGCATGAAGTCAATCAAGTCATAACCACATTATACAGTGAAATGAATAGTGAAAACAAGCAAACAAAATACATAACTCATCTTCTTTTGACAATAAAGTTTCTTATTTTAGTAATACTCCCTCCGCCCCTAAATAAACTTCCATTTTTGACTTTTTGATGATTTAAGGAGGGATGTTTTTGTGTTGACTTTCCAAAAATACTTTTGACGTGATGTGTAAAAGTAAGATGTGATAGGTAGATTATTAGTAAAAATGTATGATGTGATAGGTATGTTATGAAAAAGTAAGAGGTAAAAGGGGTTTTTTAAGGGAAAAGAGAAGTTTATTTGGGGACAAAGAAAAAACGAAAGAGGGAGTTTATTTAGGAACGGAGGGAGTATATTTTAGTGTAATTGAAAAAAGTATTTGATCAATAGTATCATAATAATAATAAAAAATGTGATGGTGCAGAGTGCATGCTTCAATTCGTTTAGTTTGTTAAGATAAAAATCCCGATTTAATGGGAGCTCTAAGGGACAACGCCCTCGAGCAAGGTTCAAGTGGCGGCAGCCCCTGCAATATTCAAGGGGCAAAGTCCCTTGCTGGGGTTGAGATTTTGATAAAGGGTATGAATAAATAACTTTAAAGAATTAATAACGGGTACAAGGATGATTTGGTAGATGACTTTAAAGAATTAATAATTTTTTGATTAATTAAATCTTATGTATTCAATAAATAATAAAAATAATAGGCTCTTTTTTTAACACAATAATAATAGGTTTGATTCGAGGGGAGATAATTTTTTTTAGCGAACTTCACATAATTAAAATAAAGCTAACCCATCATGTGATTTTTTTGGTATCAAAACGCATCAATCCCTCACCGATTTGCAAAGAATTAGTAATACTAACCATTTCTTACAAAAACTAAACTCAGTTCAATCCTTATGGTTTCGTGCGGCAATGGACTCCAAAGCTTCTTTGAAGTTTTTGGTTTCAGTTGTCAAAAACTTGGCCCTTTGGGCTAAGTCAACGGACGTGACTGGCATTATCCGCTGGTTGGTGTCTGTTGTTTTGGAAATGCCCTTTTAGGGTGGTTCTCTTAGGTCAACTAGACGTTGACCGCCAAGTGAGTTTAAACTTTTCCTTAGTTGGCTGAACAGAAACCTGATTTACTCGTCTTGCTCATGGGGTAAGAGCAATCATAACAAGTTGCAGCCCAATACTGAAATATTATCCGGAAGGAACTCATCTCTTATATTTAACCGGTGTGGGGTTAAAGCTATAACTTGACGAAAATGTAGTTTCCATTGGGACACCCCCATGCATGTCTTTACCAAGCCATGGACTCTTGATTCTTTTCGATCCTAACCTTCATTTCTGCTTATTGTGATTCTGGTTAGGCGAGTTGCCTGTTGACAACAACGTTCGGTAGCATGCTACTTTATTCATTTGGATCATTCTCCTGTTTCATGGAAATCCAGGAAATAATAGATTTTTTTGCTAGGCAACTTGGGTGTTTATGACTTACACGCTCCAACTTGAAGGGATTGTTGGACGGAATATTCGAGAAGAATTTGCATAGAGGATTTTTGACTCTTGACTTATTTAATTGTTACCTTATATTTTTTCTATTACCTTGCATTGATTTAGGTTAAAATGTTTATGGTAATGAAGATCCTTACCTTAGTTAACTATGTATTCTCTCCTATATAAAGCTTGTTCCTTAATTGTAATAATTAAGATTCAAGATGGATGGGTAAAAAATTCCTCATATACTCCTTGTGTTCCAATTTTCCAAATCAAACGTCTTGGTTTGACTTCACAGAGTTTTAAATTATATTGAGATATGATAAGTTGGCCATTGATATTTGTTTGGAAGAAAGAAAAGCATTGTAGACAATATATTCTTAATTTTTTATGTAAGTAAACAAAACAATTGTTTTGTAACAGATTAAAAAGGAAAATATAATAATTATTTTAGGACAGAGGAAACACTCTTTACATTTTATCATGCATTTAATGATATTTGATAGGATCTCTTGAATTACTAACTTCTCACGGTTTTATATACTTGGAGTATTCTCACTTTCTCCATTTGTATAACATTTTACGATGTATAGAGTATTTTAATGCTATCTTTCTTTTAAACAAACACTACCTAGCTAGTCCTCTAGGCACAAATTCCTCTTAATGGTATACAATTCAAGCATAGACAGGATGAACATATATACTCGTATGACCTTAGAGTTAAATGTATTATTTCACCCAAGTTTTGATTTGACTTCAAATCATCCAAATAGTATACCACACAGGTATAGAATTATTATTTTCATAGACTTCATTTGGTGTCCACAATTTAAGTAATAGAATTGGAATTGAAAACTTCAATTAATATTTTATTATTTGGTAGGATAAAAATATGTAAACTTCAAATTCTATTCTAATCTCAGATTTTCTATTTCTATATTTTACATTCCATAACAAAGAAAAAAAATTTGTCAATCTGGGTCACTTTAGGTGTGTTTCGAAAATGATATTTTAGAGGGTTTTTGACTTCTTTTACTCACTGACTTTTTCTTTGACATGTTAAAGAAGTCATATTTAAAATTTAAAATATAAAATTAAAAATTAAAAACTAAAAATTTAAAAACTAAAACTAAAAATTTGTTCTTTTAAATTGGGTTTTTGAATTACTCTACTGAAAAGTTCTTCATATCAAGTGGACTGCTAATCCATTACGAAGTACATACTAATACACAGAAAAAGAACCAAAATAATTCTATCGAAAGAATAATGGAAATATGGGGTTAATTGACGTAAATTTTGATATATATTGGAGGGGTGTGCCGGGCAAGGAAGTAGTGCAAGCCCAAGGCGACACGTGAAAGCCCAAGACAGCAAGCTACCTTTGATGGGCTTTCCCCCTTAAAAAAAAGAGTTAATATCGTGTGGGCCAATGGCCCACATATCAGATATTAAACTGATAAGAACAGATACTACACTTGATCTTAGCCAAAAGGCCGAGAAAGGTATGACTAATCCAACAGGCCGCCCACGTTATTTGTACCACCCGAGAGGAGCTCGTTTCTTCTATCTAAACGGTGTGGGAAAAACGCTGGAAGGGTTCTCAATCCAAAACCTTACTTCTTCCCGAACTTCCGATTACCCGACCCTTTTCTTCAACCTCTTCACCTCGGGGATTAATTCAGGTAGCCTTTTGCGCTTACAATGATAATCTTGCTAGCGTGGTTTACTCATGGTGTTAAGGCCAACTAAGTATTCAGGGATTGTGAAGAACGATGCATGTGTGTGGCCTTCAATTGGGAGGCAAAGGCCAACAAGTATTGAGGAAGCCATTGTTATCTTCCAGGAAATCTCTTTACTCGTATTGCTGGGCATCATCCATCAATTGAGGAAGGTTAGTTCTTTTCTTAGTTCGTATCATTTCCTCTGCAACATGCTGGAGTGAAGTGTCGATGGGCTTTTAGCTGAAATTCATTATGCCTTTTTCCCCAGAACAAAATGGGCATATAATTTTATCTGCATCTATACTGCTTTTTACTTAGAATCAAGTTTCAGTCAAATTGTTCTTCTAATAATTGTGTTATTACTGCCTATGCCGCAGTAGTAGTAAGGGGTGTGTAATGTATCAAATAATGTTTTTCACTTCATTTAGTCTTTGAAATGCTAATGATTGTGTGTTTGACCCATGTTCATTGTTTCACATTGGCTTACTGCATATCTCAAACATCACGAATCTTCTGTCTGTGACTTGTTGGTTGAAAATGAGAAGTAGGCAATCTAATTGCTAAAATACTCGTATCTTTATGATTCATTACCATTTCGGCTTCTTCCATATTCATAACTATTAGGTTGGCCTTTTATTGGTACTTGGGAGTGTTGTCTTGCAAGAAGAATATTACTCACTGCTTTACCAACCATTTGTTTAGATCCAAGAAGGTACGAATATACTTGACTTTGATGCCCTAATAAAACCCGAAATCATAATGACGGGGACGATTGTGCTATATAGATCTGTACAATTCAGGATATATAATGAATATTTACCTCTTATGCCATATTAATTTGTGTAAAAGGAGCTATATTTATAGCTAGTTACAAGGATGTTGCATTGTGCCTGGACTAAAAGTGAGTTGAGGCACAATGCATAGGGAGCCAGACAATGATGCCATTTTTTTTCTAAAACTTTTCTCCATGCTTCCCTCCTTTTCATATGGGACAAAAAAATGTTTTTGAAACGTCACTATAGCTAGATCCATTTCTTTTGTTGAATTTTAAGGAACACAATATTGCTGTTTCTGAGAGTGAGCCATGCTTATATCTATATTGAATAAAGAGGTATATATGCCAAAGTACACTGCATCCTTTGACTCATCACTAATAATTATATTGTGGTCCATATAATATGAGATGTTTGCCATTGTGGATGTTGCTTCTTTCTTGCACTATCAAGAGACGTGCAGCGGCGGTGTGGTTAGGCAGAGGGTAGGCAACCCCTTGTATAAACCAAGGGTGGGTGGGTGGGCAACTGCTTGTAAAGCATTAGGGGCATGATAGAAATAAAACTCCTATTTATGGATTTGAAATATTGGGGCTCCTATTGTGATATTTAAGAACTCATTTACTCTTATCTTGTGTTAATTCTTTACTAAATTTAGTATTCGAATACTATCGTATGTTCCAACAACTTGCCATAAAATGTTGTCAGTATTCTAATGCTTGATTGAGTATTCGAATTGAATACTAGTTTGTGACGTTATAGTATTCGAATTCTCCATTTGAGTATTTGAATATTCAACTGCCATAAAGAATTCTGGAAAGTCTTAGATATTTCGAGTATATATGTTGAATACAACAAGGTAATATCTGAATACTTTCTGAACACGTGTGTTGATTCATCTCAATGATAATGTGCATGGTCAAGTCTTCTCTTAATATATGGAGGGATTGTGGTATGTTTTGTATGCAGAACATAACATATTCATTCTTAAACACTTGCATCTTATATATTCAATATTAAAAAGTTTTGATATAATATCAAAATTACTTTAATTTGATAGTGTTTCAAGCATTTGTAAGTTTATAAAGCTATATCTCATTCTATTCTTTCTCCAATTCCAAAATTTTCATACAAAACATCTTCCATATATCCAATCATGATCTAACATATTTTACACTAACACTTGTAACAAGCAGGGCTAAAACAAGGGTGTTAGCATCCACCCACTCTTTACCATATTGCCCTCCCTACTTCTAACCTTGCCCCCTACATAAACTAGAATGCCTTGTCCACCCTCACCCTGCCCGCGTACTTGCCCCTTCTCCACCCCCAACTTCCAACGCCCATGTCTCATCGTTCTCTGTCACTAGTCACCTTGCATTACCCGCCCCTTCCCCTTCCTATTGTCACTCATATTACTAAAATATTTTTAAATTGTCTCAAATCATTTTTTAAATATAAATTTTCAAATATTAGCACTGAGAAATAATTTGTTGGGAAAAAAATTTTCCCTCTCAAACAATGAAAAAATGATGTGAAATAATTTACTCAAATAATATTTTTCCTCTTTTTTTGAAAAATATTTCTCCCAACTACATGGACCCTTAGATAAGTTTCTATTTGCATGCAAGTGAAACTAGACACACTTGTATGAATCACATTTGATGTGAATTTGAATGGGACTACTATTGAGTAATAAAAGTAAAATTTTATAGAAATACTCCAACAAATGAGTGATTTCAGAATGTTACTCTCAAGTCTTATAAATTACACTACTGCTTCAACAATTGCTCTATTTTCATACAAAGATTGTATCTGTCACACCAGTTATCTAACTACATGTATACATAGAAATTAGAAGGTTGATTTGATAACTAAAATAACTTTTTCCTTTCTAGCAGTTATTTCGTTAACTTTTAATTCAAATAGTTTACCCGCCATGCTATAACATTTCATATTTATATTTAGTTGATTAGAAAGAGAAAAAATAGGAAGGAAAATAAATTATAGCATGTTAAACGATTCACATTGAGTATTACTCCGTATATTCTATAGCATAGTACTCCATGACTCCGTACTAAAATTTTATAGATGACAAAAAATTTGAAGTATAAATGATTCATATTCATCTTTTAAATTAAGTAATGTTCATTTTTTTTAACTATTTTGAAAATTTATAAATTATTGTTTTCTCGAAAATCATTTTCCAATAAAAATACAGTTGGAGTATTTCGTTTTAAATAAAAAATAATCCGCACGCCGTAAGTGGGGGAAAAAAGGAGAAGAAGAAGAATGAATGAATACAAGTTGGGCAATGGTACACCAACATGGGGTATCCCAAGTGTACACCAAGCCAACACAGACACAAAATGTCTGTGCAACACAGACACAAGTGTCTGTGTGTCTGTGTTGGCTTTGGTGTACTCCTAGCTTAATTCATACAACTCCTTGGTAAAATGTCCAAAATTTTGACATCTTCAGTGCCATGGCAACAAATTTGGGATGTTATCCATGCCGCCACTTGGATGCCGGAGCTACCCGCATCTTCCTTCACCATCACCCCAACTGCTTTCAAACCACCGCGAAAATCTTCTGCGGATCTGCGTCGTTGCGGAGGAAGCAAAGGCGGACAAGACGGCAGCAGCAGCGTCTTCACCTCGTCGTCACCGCTCAGCTTCCCCACGCGCCCTCCTTCAACACCACCGGCTTGGATTTTCAGGTTAAGATGCTTACTGTTCCTCAGCAGTTTTTAGCTGCTGATTTTTATTTTAACTGCATCGCCTGATTTTGATCCCAATTCCATGAAAACGGATTTTTTTAGTAGTTGGGTGCCCAATTTATATACTCCTCCAGTCCACCGTGTGTAAGTTCATAAATATGCATTTCTCAGTGATCGCAGTTTGTTTGGCTTGCAACAATAGGTTATGTTATTGTTTGAACTTATTTTATCAATGAGAACATTGAGTTTGTTTTCTTTTTCTAATTTCTGGTTCAATAGAATAGTGCTCCCTCCATTCCTAAATAATCTTCCCATTTATTATGCACATGGTTAAACTCAATTCTCTTTCTTTACCTATTTCCATTGATTTTTTTTTTAAAATAAAATAGTCTTGTCACCACTTGCTTTGTTGAACTTTTGAAGTAGTTCCAAATATATAAATTAGATTTTTTTTTAATTCTACGTTATCATTTGTACAAAGTGAATTGAAAATTATTTTGATCATACATCATAATCTGAAATCAGAAGATTATTTTGGAATAGAGGGAGTAGTATATGTGTGAAGTCCATAATGGGTTGCTTGTTTTGCTTGAATGCAAAGATTTCCCAATCACAGTCGCCATGGATTGGCCCGCTACCTGGGGACATTGCAGAAGTAGAGGCTTATTGTCGAGTTTTCAGGGCAGCTGAACAGCTGCACAATACGTTAATGGACACAATATGTAATCCAGTGACCGGAGAATGTGTTGTCTCATATGATATCCCATCAGAAGATAAACCATTTTTGGAAGATAAAATAGTTTCTGTTCTAGGTTGCATGGTCTGTCTTCTGGACAAAGGGAGGGAGGAAGTTCTATCAGGAAGATTGCTGATTATGAACGCATTCCGTGATGTTGATGTGATGGATGATAAACTTCCTCCGCTGGCAGTTTTTAGGGGAGAGATGAAAAGTTATTGTGAGAGTTTGCATGTTGCGCTTGAGAACTACTTGACGCCTGATGATGCTCGAAGCGTTAATGTGTGGAGAAAACTTCAAAGACTGAAGAATGTATGTTATGATTCTGGCTTCCCTAGGGGAGATGATTTTCCTGCTCAGACATTGTTTGCTAACTGGTCTGCAGTTCATCTTTCAACTTCAAAGGAAGAGACAGAATATGAGGAGGCTGCTTTTTGGAAAGGTGGTCAAGTTACAGAAGAAGGTCTAAAATGGCTATTGAATGAAGGGTTCAAAACCATTGTAGATCTTAGAGCTGAGATTGTAAAAGACAATTTCTATGAGAACAAGCTGAGTAAAGCTATTATCTCTGGTTCCATTAATCTGATTAAACTTCCAGTTGACATTGGTACATCACCATCGATGGAACAGGTTGAGAAGTTTGCAACTCTTGTCTCTGATTCAAGAAAAAGGCCAATATATCTTCACAGTAAGGAAGGAGTTTGGAGAACATCTGCTATGGTCTCCAGATGGAGGCAATTTATGGCTCGCCACTCTTCACAGACTGTGACAAATCAGAGAGTTCGACCCAATGAAAACTTACCACATGTTGGTGTAGAAATAAAGGATCACTTGCTCACAAGCTCAGGAGAAGATCAAGAAGAACCCAACCCAACAAAATCATGGGACGTAAACTCTTCCACCTGGGAGCTTCCTAGTCAGAATTCTGAAGACACAGAAAATAAATCATTGAACAAGAGCGAAGTGAATAATTTTTCTACACTCAAGTTGGATACAGCATTTCCAGGGAGTGAAAGTTTAGCTGTTCCGTACAGAAAAATAAACCCACTTGAGTCACAATTGCCTCCTTCAAACGTATTCTCCCAAAAAGAGATGTGTGCATATTTCAAAAATAGAAAGATTTCACCAGCAATTTTTTTCACCCACGAACATGAGCGATTGGAGATGTTGCGTTCCTCGAGATATGACAACAATGAGAAATTTGGGATAACTAATGCCACCACTTCTAAAGCTGAATACAAAACGATAGAATCAGATTTCCCAGATGTGTCATACAACACTAAGAACATCTGTAGAAGTCCCCCAGTTTCTTCTGCTGATCTTGGAACATATGGAGGTCCCAATGGTTCTTTCGAGAACCTCTGTGATGGAGATGTGTTTGCCATGAGCCAAAATGGGGAGTTTGTTAATGCAAAAGGTAATTTGGACATAAATGGCATCCCTGCATCCGTTATAACCCCTGTGTCTTCAAGTGATGAGGAGTTGGAGGTGGAAGGCGATATGTGTGCTTCTGCAACTGGGGTTGTTAGAGTGCAGTCAAGAAAAAAAGCCGAAATGTTCCTAGTGCGTACAGATGGATTCTCTTGCACTAGAGAGAAGGTAAAGGAAGCATCCTTGGCCTTCACCCACCCTAGCACCCAGCAGCAGATGCTTATGTGGAAGTCTGCCCCAAAGACTGTACTATTATTGAAGAAATTGGGGCAGGAACTTCTGGAAGAAGCCAAAGAGGTAGACTTATTTTTCTTTCTTTTTCTTTTTTGATTTCAGCCAAAGAGGTTGCCTTCTCTTCTCACTCTTAACATAAATTTCACTCCATATGTAATACTCCGAGGGTCCCATAAAATTTTTTACACTTGCTTTTTTGGACATCCTACAAAAAACTTTACACGTTATAACCTGTTTCGGTAATCAATACGTGGCTACCAACAATTCTCTCTCTAAAAAATTCTAACTACACAATTTTTACTTTTCAACTACTTTCTTAAACACTGAAGTCAAACTTTCAAGAACTTTATGGGACGGAAGGAGTATGAGTTAACATCCCTAGTAACTATAATGTTAATGACAACATCTTGTATTCTAGTGGCATGAGGCTTAATATTCCCTATTCCCCTTGGATATTATCCCAAAAATAAGTTTTGGCAATCCCATGAACACGTGCAAAAAAGCATACCTTCTTGGGCTACAATTAGTAGCTCAACCCATTAAATTTGGCAAAAAATAGTTAAGCTCAAAACTTTTTGATAGTATTTCATTTTTTTCTCATATTTTGTGATTAATTGCTTGCACCTGAGGTCACTATATTGTTCAAATAAGTATATTGTTTAAAGTTTTTCTCATTTCTTGTCCCTAGTTCACCTAGTTTCAACTTTCATCAATATATATGCAGGTTGCTTCTTTCTTGCATTATCAAGAGAAAATGAATGTTCTGGTTGAACCTGAGGTGCATGATGTTTTTGCAAGAATCCCAGGATTTGGGTTTGTGCAGACATTCTATAGTCAGGATAGCAGGTGGGCTGATTGTTCCTTTTGAATTGTAAGATCAAATGTTTTGTCCCATATGGCTACCATTTATTTAAGTAAAGAGTGAATAGTAAGGCATGCTCAATTTGGCTGATGTCCCTTATGTAGTTGTCTTCATGAGAGAGTCGATCTTGTTGCCTGCTTAGGAGGAGATGGGGTTATACTTCATGCATCAAATCTATTTCGAGGTGCTGTTCCACCTGTTGTCTCATTTAACCTAGGATCTCTTGGATTTCTAACTTCTCACAGGGTGGGTATGGATGCTTAATTATCATACTTGAGATTTCTCATTTTACCTTTTGTCTAATTGGCGATATGATGTAGTTTGGTGATTATAAAAAGGACCTGAGACATATCATCCATGGGAATAGTACTCTGGATGGAGTGTACATCACACTTAGAATGCGACTTCACTGTGAGATATACCGAAACGGAAAGGCAGTGCCAGGGAAGGTGTTTGACGTCTTAAATGAAGTTGTGGTTGATCGAGGCTCTAACCCCTACCTTTCAAAAATAGAGTGCTATGAACACAATCACCTCATAACAAAGGTTTTTCTACATTTCTCAGTGTTTTACCTGCAGCTACTTATCTTTTTTCAAATTGAACGTCTTAAATGAAGTCTTCTGTGTGAGCGTGTTTCTAAATCAGAATTGATTGACAATGGTAGTGCTGGTGAGAAAGTTGGCCTTTGTGATATTCATCCCGTTCTTATTTTTTACTGTCCGTCTTCATTGATCTAATTTGCTTGTTGCTTTTTTTGCCATTTCTATGAAATCCATGCGAATCTTTTTTTAAAGTTGTATCATTCTAATAGTAACTGTATTAAATAATGGCTAGTAAGTTTTTATTTGAAAAAAATGAAGGCATTTTAGGGAAGTTTTAAACAGTTTTGATTAATTATATACTCTTGTATTTTCTTGAACTGTGTGATTTGGTCCACGAAGACACATAAATAGATCATTAGGAATTTTTTAAAGCTTTATATTATTATTGTTTGGCGAGCAGGTGCAAGGCGATGGAGTGATCATTGCTACTCCGACAGGAAGCACAGCTTACTCTACAGCTGCAGGGGGGTCCATGGTAAGTAAAAAGCCATTAAAATAAACTGCAAACTAATAAGAATAAGAACTTAGGGATCTTACGTTTACAGCATATACACACATGCATATACAATCAACATACCTCAGTATTATCCCAATTAAGACATAGGCAGCCTTATCTATCATGTTTAAAAAATACGGAGTATGTTATTTCCCCGTTTAGACCCTTGATGCATTGCCGGATTTACTACCCAAAGCTCCATAGAAATGGCGGAGATGATGTTACAGTTCTCACAAGGGGTATGTATGTATGCAGGTGCATCCGAACGTTCCGTGCATGCTTTTCACGCCAATTTGCCCGCACTCACTCTCCTTCAGGCCAGTTATACTTCCAGATTCTGCCAAGCTGGAACTAAAGGTTGGTTTGTTGTTTCTTTTATATAATATTGATGATGATGATGATGATAAACTGCCTGTGATGATATATATGATGGTGGATGTCAAGCGATCTCTGAAAGTCTATGTGGTGGTTCATTGAATAATTCACCAGATTCCGGCGGATGCACGGAGCAATGCATGGGTGTCATTTGATGGGAAGAGAAGGCAACAGCTCTCCCGAGGCGACTCCGTGCAGATATGTATGAGCCAGCATCCGCTCCCCACTGTCAACAAATCCGATCAAACTGGGGATTGGTTTCACAGCTTAATCCGTTGCTTGAATTGGAATGAGAGACTGGACCAGAAAGCCCTCTGATGGGCCCCCTTGTTTTGTTCACACTCACATTTCTCCTCCTCTTCTCTGTAAATTACGGCTACATATGTATGGTGTAACCATATCAATTATTATTCTGTTGCGTTCTGTGTCATAAATGAACGTAACACCGGTAATTATTCTTTAAGCTCAGTGGTATAAATTCCTTTTTCCTTATATAATTTCTACCCTAAAAAACAATCTCAACCTTTCAATTCTTACACTTTTGGCTTAATTTCTTTACCATGGCCGAATTGATAACAATCTTCCCAAGGATTTTGTTTTCTTCTTTAATTTAAGATACTCCGTAGTAAATCGAATGCAGACATGTTTGCCTTGACAGAAATTCTCATTCCAATCACTCAAATTGATGTCCGATGCAACAAATATATATATTCATTTTACAAGATGATTATTTTGACCCTCGTCAGGTCATATTATGACTTGGGACTCCTCTGTTCATATAATTAATGGTTCTTACTCCATTCCATAATCCCTCCCATAATCCTTCCTGCACTACTCCTTAGGAGGCATGAATCATCAATTTTACTAACGGAGCATCGTAAGGGTCCTGCTTCATAATATGACCCGAGGTTCAAGGGTCAGAAGATCCTTTCCGTTCATTTTAATGTAAAAATACAAATATTTATAAACTCCTTAAAAAAGTAAAAATATTTTTATAAAATACGAAGTACTCCGTACATAAAAAGCCTGTGGGCCGGGTTGCATGTGGCCCGTTTGGGAGATGTGGCCGTGATGTTTGGCCCGTTTGGGTGTCGGGTCAAACATTTAAAAAAGGTCTCCGTGTGCTTTTTTTCCCCTATTATCGCTGCTCGCTCTCTCTTCTTCGCGCTCCCGCCACTGGAAACCTAAAGCAAACAGACAAATCTCTTGTCATCATCATCATCTTCTTCTTCTCTTCCATATGCCCACTTCTTCTACCATTCATTCGGCCGAAACAACTGATTTATCAGGTGACAAACACACTCTCTCTCTCTCTTACCTATTTGTTTATATATAAATAAATAAACTAATTTGTGCGCTACTCTAATTTGATTTCAAGATTTCTCCTTTTGTTTAGATTGAACGGCCTTTGCTTGATGTGTTTTTTTTTATTTTAACTCTGTCTTTCTTTTTTTTGCTGCTAGGTAAGCGAAAGCGAGAGCCAAAATATGAGCGGGAGACCGATTGGACTCTGAAGAAACCTAAGGAAAGATCCGAGGAGGATAAGGTAATGGTCCGATTCTTCTTCTTCTTTGAGAACAGTTTTATTTATATTCTCTTAGTTCTAATGGCTACTCGTAACAGGATACAACGCAAGGACTTGCTGATAATCTCCTCCCAGAGGTCGAAGGAAGGGTCGAGTTGTTGGAGACAAAGTCTGAGGCTAATTTAATTCCAGTCATGGTACGATTTTTGTATTTTTAAGTACTCCGTATTGTATTGTTTGTCAGGTATTCAATTTGATCATCTTGTTCTTATTATTCTGTCCATCGTGTGTTCCAATGGGGCTACTCATCATGTATCAGGAGACAGTGGAAGAAGGACTCGATGAAACTTCCCATTTTGTTGAGGTGCCTCTTCTTATCTTATCATCTCTCTCTCTCCCCTCAAATTATGTTTATGTTTACGGTTACTAACAGAACTGTTGCCACCAAGATGACTTCTTATCATGGGGATGAATCTGCAGACAAGGCTACTGTACTCTTTGTTGTTATGCAGTTTAATTCTTTCTCTCCTTATGGTCTTGCTAACACACTTGGCTGTCAAATTCAGGGAGCTGCCTCAAGGAAAAAGACGCTCATTATTGACAATCTCTCGTCTCAAGCCAGAATACCAAACATGCAAGTAGCACCTTTAATTTCCTCTTTCGTTCTTGGAGCAAGGTTTTCATTACTAACATTTTATCATCCATTTTACAGCATCAAATTCTTCAAAGATGTTGGAAAAGTTGTAAATGTTCGAAGAATTGTAAACTCCATTGGCAAGTATCTCGGCTCTGGCTCTGTTGAGTTTGCTTCTCCTAACGAAGCAAAGAAGGTGAGAGTAGTTTTCTAGTGTCGTTGAAACATGTTTTAGTAGTTATCTTGAATGTATTGCAACTTATCATGAAATCTATACAAGTAGTTATTTGAAAGTATTATTGCTGATTAGATCTTTTATACTTCAGGCACTGGAAAAGAAGAACGGTGAAAATTTGTGCGGTACTAATATTACTCTTCGCTTGGCTAAGACAACTCATAACCCTCAAAGACCCGGGTAAATTCATTTTCCATGCCATGGGGATTTGTTTCTATAACTTATTGCTAGATTTTTTTATGCCATTACGCATTACTAATGCAGCTATTTTTGTTAATCAGGTTTTGCGTTGAACACAAGGTTTGGTAAGGGATTTAACTACTTGCATCTTGAGTTTGTTATCAAGAGTACATTAGGCAAAGTTTCTGATATACATGGAGGGCTCACAAGGATGCTTCAAATTCCAGGCACGAAGACTACATTCGATGAGAAAGCTTTTCGGTAGAAGACGAGGAGATACCTCCCCATTTTTTTGAGTTACATGTTCTTATTACCTTCAAAGTATGTCTGGCTCAGAAGATACACTTAGCTTTTAATAACTGAACTTTTGTCGAAAAGTTGAAAGATGACTTATTCTGGGGATGAATCTTTAGATGAGTCTACTCTTTGTTGTGATGCAATTTAAGTCCTTTTTTCTTCTCAGAGTCGTACTAACACCCTTGGATGTTAATTTCAGGCAATTGCAGCAAGGAAAAAGACGATCTTTGTTGCCAATCTCTCCCCCCAAACTAACATAATCCATATGTACGTAGCACCTTTGAAATCGTTCTCGGAGCAAGTTTTTCATGACTGATATTTTATCCTCCATTTTTTCAGCAACATGTTCTTTAAAGATGTTGGAAAAGTTTATAGTGTTCGACTTATTGTAAACCACGAGGGTAAGCATGTGGGCTGTGGCTTTGTTGACTTTGCTAGTGCTAACAGTGCAAAGAAGGTGAGAGTAGTTTGGTAATAATGCTGTAAAAAGTAGTACCTCCATCCTAGTGTATTTGTCCAGTTAGAATTTTTTGACTCAAATTGGGCAAATTTTGAGCTTCAATTACTCTCAATTTGTATTGCATATTATTAGTACAATGAAATAAAATATTGAAAGTTCCCAACTAGATAAGTTTAAATAAAATTATTTTTATACTAATATACATTAATATTTTTGTTTAATTGAAGCTCAAAGTTCATCTTATTTGACTCGAAAGAGTCAAACTAGACAAATACGTTGGGACAAAGGGAGTATTTAAGTAATTTGAATAGTGTTTGCTCGTGAATAAAAATATACTTGTAGTTATTCGAAAGTGCGATAGCTGATCAAATCTTACATATTGTAGGCGCTGGAAAAGAAGAATGGTGAATATTTGCACGCTCATAAGATTTTTCTTGATGAGGCCAAGACAGCTCCATGCTCTCCACGACAAAAGTAAATTGATTTTTTCATGTTATGGTGATTTGCTTAGGTAACACTAGTTGTAACTTATTGCAAGATTATTGATGCCATCACATAAGACTAACACTACTATTTTTGTTAATTAGGTACAGCCCTGTAGAGAAGCTTTGGTATGGGATTCAACTACTTCCCTCTTGAGCTCGTTATCAAGGTCACTTTAGGTGAAGTTTTTGGTGCACATGGAGAGATCACAAGGGTTTTTTGATATTCCAGGTACGAAGACTACCTCCTACAAAAAAAGCCTTGTTCCAGAAGAAGATGAGACACTGGAAGGACTTGATGAAACTCCCTATTTTGTTGAGGTACCTATTCTTGTTCCCTTCAAATTATGTCAGGCTCTGAAGAAACCCTTAGTGTTTATTAACTGAACTGTTGTGACAAGGATGACTTATAACGGAGACGAATCTTTAGATGAGGCTACTTTTTGTTGATATGCACTTTAAGTCATTCTCTCCTTACCGTCGTGCTAACACACTTGGCTGTTAAATTCAGGCAGTTTCTGTAAGAAAAAAGACGCTCTTTATTCACAATCTATCTAGGCATACTAAGATATCCGACATGTAAGTAGCACCTTTATTTTCCTCTATCGTTCTTGTAGGCAGTTTCTCATGACTAATTTTTATCCTCCATTTTTACAGCATCAACTTCTTCAGAGATGTTGTAGAAGTTGTTCATGTTCGACTTAGTGTAAACAGAAAGGGTATGCTTGTGGGCTTTGGTTTTGTGGAGTTTGCTTCTGCTGACGAAGCCAAGAAGGTGAGCATAGTTTTTTAGTAATGAAATGTGTTTTTAGTAGTCATTTGAATGTATGATTGCTTATTAGATTTGTTATATTGCAGGCGCAGGAAAAGAAGAATGGTGAAAATTTGTGCGGTAAACCAATTACTCTTAGCGAGGTTACGGTGGCTCCATACCCTCCAAAAAACATGTAAATTGATTTTCCATGCTATGGGGATTTGTTTTTGTATCTTATTGCTAGAGATCCGATGCAATTACAAAAGACTAATGCTATTATTTTTGTTAATTAGGTACTTTTGCATAGATCACAAGGTTTGGTAAGAGATATAACTATTTGCTTCTTAAGCTTGTTATCAAGAGCACATTGGATGAAGTTTTTGGTATAGATGGAGAGATCACATGGGTTTGTGATATTCCAGGTACGAAGACTACCTTCGAGGAGAGAGCCTTCTGATAGAAGAAGATGAGGCAGTGGAAGGACTTGATGAATTTGTTGAGGTACCTGTTATTATCTCTCAAAGTAAGCTGTGCTTAGAAGATTCGCTTCGGGTTTAATAAGAGAACAGTAGCCACAAAGTCGAAAGATGACTTATTCTGGGGTGAATCTACTCTTTATCGCAAAATAAGTCTTTTTCTCCTTAGAGTTGTGCTAACAGATTTGGCTGTTAAATTCAGGAAGTTTCTTCGAGAAAAAGGACACTCTTTGTTGAAAACCTTCCTCCCAAATGTAAAATAAGACATATGTAAGTAGAACCTTAATTTCCTCTTTCATTCTTGGAGCAAGTGTTTCATGACTGATGTATTATTATCCTATATTTATACAGTGCCAATTTCTTCCATGACTTTGGAGAAGTCAGTGTTCGACTTCTTGTAGATTACCAGGGCAAGCATTTGCGCTGTGGCTTTCTTAAGTTTGCTTCTGATATTGAAGCAAAGAAGGTGAGAGTAGTTTTGTAGTAATGGTGAAAAGTATGCGAGTAGTCATTTGAAAAGTAGTGTAAACTTATGATTAGGGGTGTAAATAGGCATTAATCGGATCGAATGTGTGCATGTGTATACTCAAAGGGATGTTTATGCAGAGCGGATTATAAATGGATCGGATGTATGATTTCCGAATCCGTATCCATTTATCAATCGGATGTCTTTAATCGAATTACGGATAATAACTTCTTTGAACGGATGTAGATATTTTTTGTGTAAACGGATACCGATGCGTACAGCGTATGATAATTGAATTTTCTGTTATCCATATGCATTCCTATTTATAATGAAAATTATACAAGTTGTTATTTGAAAGTACGATCACTGATTAGATCATGATACGACAGGCACTAGAAAAGAAGAATGGAAGCTTATGGTGTGGTCATGTTCTTTTTCTTGAAGTGGATGAGATAGCTCCATACCCTCTCCGACCCAAGTATATTGTTTTTCCATGTTATGGAGATTTGTTTCTCTAACTTACTGCTTGAGTTTTCTGATGTCATTCCTTAAATTTAATGCTATAATTTTGTTAATTAGGTATAACCAGGCAGAGAAGCTTTGGTATGTGATTTTAACTATTTGGCTTTTGAGTTTTGTTTTTAAGAGCACATTGGGTGAAGTTTTTGGTATGTATGGAGAGATCACAAGGGTTTTTAATATTCCAGGTATGAAGACTACTTACAACGAGAGAGGCTTTGGTATGTGATTTTAACTATTTGGCTTTTGAGTTTTGTTATCAAGAGCACATTGGGTGAAGTTTTTGGTATGCATGGAGAGATCACAAGGGTTTTTTATATTCCAGGTATGAAGACTACTTACAACTAGAGAGGCTTTGGATAGAAGAAGAAAATATGAAGAAACGGTTTTGCAGTAAGAAGATTACCTTATCTTGCGGTAAGAAGATTACCTTCTCTTACGACGACGAATTGATAGAAGAAGATGAATAACTTTGGTGTTTTTAACTTGTGATGTTATGCATATTTTGTTTTATTACTTTGGTTTTTCTTATAGTCTAGTTCATTGTCTAAGCGTAAGTTAAAATATACTCCGTACTTAATTTTGAATATTTTTGTGTTATATCATTATCTGCTTTCATTAATTTTGTTGACAAAATCATCATATCTATTTTTCCATGTTTAGTATCATTTTATTGGATAGATTTACTCTTTCATTTGAGAAGCACTGATAAATAAGTCAAGAGCAGGACGTTTGTTAGCTTGAAGATCAATTTTGTACATAGACCAAAATTGTTGGCGTATACCGAAGCTGATGAGCATTTTAGTAGATCGATAGATTAATGTAGATATTACATACCCAAACAAAAGTTATCGGAAATACGAATAGTATTTAGGTTTTTTTTGGAGACGGGGTTGAACAAAAGTTTATGGTACTTTCTATATACTAGTATTCATTTTTTTATTTTATTGCTTGGTTTTTCTTATGGTATAGTTAAAAGTATGAGCATAAGTTAAAATATCCTTAATTTTTAATATTTTGGTGTTAATTAAATTTGGTTGACAAAATCTTCATATCTATTTTTTTATTTTAGTCTCACTTTTGGATAGATTCATTCTTTCCCGAGATGGTTGTTAGCTTGACGATTATTTGTGTACATACACCAAAATTTTGCAATGTCCCTCTGTTCCGAAATAGTTGTCCCAATTTAACCTTACAGAGTTTAAGAGGTGTTAAAAAAAATAACAAATGGTTGAGATTTGATTAGAAAGAAGAAAAAGATTCTGATCATAGACTAATAAGAAAAATGAAATGATTAATTTGAGATGGTGGAAGTGTATATTGAGTAATATTCTAAGGGCATCCCCAATGAGTCTTGATAGAGTCTGAAGAAGAATCTCAAGAGTCTATTTTATATTCCCTCTGGCTTTAAAAATCTTACTCCGTACCTTATTGACTTTGTTTGGTCAAATAGTGATATTCTTTGACATCAAATTAAAAATAATCTAAATAAATAAATGATATAAAAATTTGATGTATCAAAGTATATCTTAAAATGAATCTAATTATATTAAATTTCTATTATAATTAAATATTTTTCACAATTTATTCAAATTAGCTTTTGAATACTCATTTTAGATCAATTTCTACTGCTACGTAATCTATTATAATCATAATCAAAATTGTAGATCAATGCCTACCAAACCAAACAAAACCATTCAATGAAAATTAATTTATTCATCATCTAAAAGAATAAATCTTTAACGTATCTCGATCATCATTTTGTTTCTGAAAGAATGCTTCCCTTTGATTAAGTAATGTACGAGTAGTAAAAGTGTTAGATGATGATCGAGATACGTCATCTCTTTATATGATGAGGATAGCCAAATTGGCACGATGCCAAAATGCTTTAATTGGTTGTACATTTCAAAGTAAAATGTACAACCAAACCAATTACAAAAAAAGTCAGATTCAGCACCTTAGAATTTTGTACCAAGTTACTCCGTATACAACTATTCGTATTTATAAGAAAAAGTTTCTCAGTTAAACTATAATCAATATTCAACCATGACCTCTCATGCCTGCCTGAAATAAATTAACATTTCATTTACTCTATAAGTATCCAACATTACACTCGCAATTCAAACAACTTTTGGTGTAGATCATTGTGCTACAAATAATTACTAAAACCAAAGGATACATCCCCACTTCTATGTGGATTTTAAACCATTACTCATGCAAACACTATTGCATGGTGTTTTCTCTACCTTTTCTGCACAAGTACACCTCAGCCCAGAACTTGACTAAGAAATATGATCGATCAGAGCTTCTCGGACGTCTATTACTTCAAAATTTTGCCTATGAATGGCATGTACTTGAGGCGCGTGGAGACCAAACCACAGACAGGAAAACATCCTCAATTTTCTGAAAGTTGCAGAAAAGATGATAGCTGTGTGATTGAGCTTGAGCGAGTAGTGGGAGTAGCATGTATTATTATACTACCAGCATATTGAAGAAATGAAGACCCTAAACATATAATTCTTGAGATTCCATTGGCGATGCCCAATAGCGCAAAAGTGATTCCACAGTTAGCCTCCTGGTCGCATTAAGCATTGAGATGAAAAAACGACAACCGTCAATCTTGTATTCTTCCAGTGGGTTTCTGTGCCCAAAAGTCCTCACGTTCACCTGCAAAAAAAAGGAACGATAGGAATATTCCCATATAAATTCCCTCAGATAAAGGGAAAAGGACAAAAGCGATTCCTTTTGTTGTGAAACTTGGGCTTAGTTAGGAGCCTGCTATTCATAAATAATGTGGAAGCCCCCCCAATAATAACAACACTCCATAATAATTAAATAAATAAGTGAACAAAACTAATGGTACTTAAAATAAATAAATGAAAGGAGTAACGTACTGATGAACTTAGCCTGTTCATGTTTACAAGATGATCTCTCCAAAAGCAATCTATAGTCTTCAAAAGCACAGCCCTCTGGATGTAAAAGAAATTTAGAAAGCTCAAAAAGAGCTTACAACAGACTAGAAAAGATGAGCAAATTTTGGTAAAAACAAAGGACAAAAATAAGAGATGACCTGAACATGCACTTGAAATTGAAACCAAGGGCCCTCACCCTATGGTTGGTTCAAAT